ATTTAGTGGGGTTGGTTACAAATTGTTACTGGACATGGTTGGGGAGAAAGTTAAACAAAGGAGATTAGATTCAGAGATCTCTTTCTGAAGGGAAAAGGAGGGCTATACTATAGAAATGATGGGATAAAATATGGATTATAGAGAAAGATTCCCTACAATTTACATATTCTAGGATCCCAGCCAGGGATTGCCCATACACATAGTGGTCATGTTTCCTCACCTCAATTAATGCAGTCAAGATAATATCCCCAGACATTCCCAGAGGCTCATCTGGAAGGTGATTTTGGATCCCACCAAGGTGACAACACTATTTATCCAAAAAAGTTGACCCTAAACCCAGAAGCACCAGGCTGTTTCCCAAGGTCCCTGCTGATGAAATCTTCAGTGACTTATTTCTAAGAGAAATCGGATTAAAGCCAGAGTGAAGCATCGAGTCGCACCCAGCAGACAAGTGAAGCAAGTGTACAGAAGGAAGTAGACTTTTCACAGACTCTAGGATAGCAGATGATTCTTTTCAGCCAAATGCATGTACTATGAAAAGAAAACCTGTACCATTCTGTACCATGTACTAAGTTTCAAACTGTCTCTCAGTACATTTTCTTCACCCGAACAATGGTCTGCCTCTGGGTTTACATGTTCAGGAAGGAGAGAGGTTTCCTCAACTTGGACAAACTTCCAAAGGTGGTTAGAATAAGCCCAAAGGGATTACCTTGCAAAAGGGTTACCTTTGAACCCTACAAAATAAACAACCAGATTTCATCTCTCAGTGTTGCAGCAACTGAAACAAAGGATTTACACAGTAATCTTTTAATTTAAAAAGTCTTTAGTGTTTATACCAAATACTTGCTACTAATTACACTAACTGGCAACTTTAACACATTAACACTTTAACATCTTGTTTGTTTATTTAAAGTGTGAACAGTATAGTAGATATGCAGGTAGAATTTTTACATCATTATCAGGCCATATCCTAGCTTTTACATGGAACAGGGCAAACAGGCTCCTCCTGAAGTTTCAAGGACAAAAGCTTTCACAGCCACCATCACTCAGGAGATTCCAGAATGCTGAGTAAGTGGGATTTTAGTGTGCCCTGCCCACATGAGCAAAAACTGCTTCAGTGTGATCAATGGATTTAGTTTCAGAATAATAAGACTGTTAGAACAGTGGCTCAACCATGTAATCACTCCCATTAAAGAAATGCTAACAGTTGTAATTTATTGTTCCAAGAGGACATTTTGTGTGATCCACATTAATATTAATATGAAAAAATAGTTTAAAATCTTATGTAAATAGAAAAGACCATTTTGAGACTACTTAAGATTATGAAAGTTAATAGGATACGTGAGATCAAGTCAAATCTTAAGAAAGAGTTGTAAGTGGTCTGGCTGTGTTGAAGGCATGCATCTTCCCAAAGCCAATTTTAAAAGAGCTAGGAAGGTATTTTGTTTCTTTTGTCACATAGCTAGGCTCTGTGCACTTATATAAATTTATCCATTGATAAACTAGAGAAACCAAGGCTTTAGAGACCATCCATGTCAAAGTATATTTTTTTACAAAAAAGAAATCAATAAACATACAAACAACAGAAAGCAACAATGACAAATGTGGGAAGGAGGTAGTTTGATTTCCAGTGTTACAGCATAACTTTTCATGTCTATTCTTCAATGAGAAAATAAAAACATGCGGTCCATTCACACGAAAACAAATTAGTGATAAACAGAACAATTCCAGAGGAAGAATGAACATAGGGATTACTAGACAATTACTTTTAAGCATCTCAATGACCTTTGGGCAGAATTCATACCAACATTTATACAGAATTTCAAAGAACCCTGATTATTCCAAATCTCGTTCCAAAGAAAAGGTGGGGAACTCATACTTCAGGATCTTGAAACTTTTGGCAAAGCTAATCAAGAGTGTTGTGGTGGAACTGCAGAGGTGACTCAGCAGTTGTGAGCCTCATGGTTCTTTTAGAGAACCTGAATTCGATAGCGAGCATCATGAGATAGCTCGAAGCCTCCTGTAACTTCAGGTCTCGGGGAGCTGATGTCCTCTTGTGACCTCGTGGGCACTCCGCGCACACACACACACACACACACACACACACACACACACACACTTTTACAATATTTTAAAGGAGTACAACCCAGGCATAGTAGCACAAGCCTCTAATCTCAGTGCTCGGAGACAGAGCAGGTGATCTCTATGAGTTTGAGGCTAGCCTGTTCTACATAATGAGTTCCAGGACAGCCAGAACTACATAAAAATACCCCATCTAAAGAATTTAGTACTAGAAGACAGACAGACAGACAGACAGACAGACAGACAGACAGACAGACAGACAGATGAACTAATGAATGAGAACAGAAACAAACCAATGAGTAAAGGATATAATATTTTCAACAAACAGAATTAATTGTAAAACCTAGATATCCACATGCAAAATAATGAATTTGTACTTATACCACACACACACACAATACCAAACACACACACACACACACACACACACACACACACACACACACAAATCATTGTAATGGGATCAAAGACTTTAAGGCTAAAGGATACAAATATTAGGAAAAATATAGTTGACAAACTTCATGACTTTGGATTGGGCAGTGGATTTTTTTTTTACATCTAACCAAAATACTGACAATAAAAGAACAAATATATAAATTAGACTACATCAAAATTTAAAATATCTTTGCATTGGAGCCAATTACTTGATTTCTCCAAAAATAAAACACAAATTGTCATACACTTCAACAGCTCTATTTCTGCATATATACTCAAAGAAAAGTTTCTATACTCATCTTCAAAGCAGAATTGTTACTCAGAAAAAAAGTAGACTTAATTAAACAGACTGAGAGGTGAACCAAAAAGCAAATCATGAGCAAATATTACATATCTCATGTAATATTATTCAGCCTTAAAAGTAAATTCTGACACACGCTATAACATAGATGTACCTTGAGAATTTTATGCTAAGTGAAATTAGTCCATCGTGGTGAGGCATACAGGACTCCACCTCAGTGAGGCAATATGAATAGTCAGGTTACACTAATTAGAATTAATTCATTGGTTGATTAATTAGTATTAATTAATTAAAATTAATAATTGTGCAGTGCTATAGTAGAATAGTAGTTTCTGGGTGCTGGAGTTCAGGAGGAATGGGGGTTTAGTGCTGAGAGGATCTAGAGTGTCGGTTTGGGAAGAGGACAAAGCTCAGGAAGGGGATAGTTGTGATGATTGCAAGATATTATGGATGTGGAAATACTTATTTCAGAGAAATATATGCTTAAGAGTGGTTTATATATGAAGTTTTATGTTTTATATATATTTAGTTAATAACATTTAAAAATTAAAGAAAGAGAAAGGAGAGGCAGAAGAGATCTCCATAAGAGGCTACAGGCAGCAATTGGAGTTACCAAACACAATCTAAGGGGTACCTGGTCCAAGCAGAGGCTACGCCTGATGGTCCAACATGTAATTCCAGCCACTTGGAAACTAAAGCAGAAAGATCCAAAGTCTCAGGCTGGCTTGGGATACAGTGGTAATTCAAGGGCATCCTGGGGGCTTCAACAAGATCCTGTCTTAAAATGTTTAAAAGTCAAGCAGGCTTAGTATATAGCTCACTAGTAGAGCAATAGCCTTGCATGTTTGAAGTCATTGATTCAACACTCACTATCCCAATTAAAAAACACAAGTAATGCATCTTCCCTAGACTTCCCTAGAGAGAACACAGGCTTGTTGACATCTTGATTTCTGATTTATGGTATCCATAATGATGAAAGAGTAAGTTGATATTTTTATATGTGAAACATTTATATTATTAATTTTTAGTTAGTGTTCTAAGTAATTGGCTTCATTGTGACATTTCACACATATATCATCACACTTAGTTTTATTTCTAACTTGTCACATAGTAAATTGTTAAGGTAGCCACAGATGGAGTAAGGAAGGAAGGAAATTAGTAAGTAAGGAGTGATTGAAGGACTAAAAGGAAAGAGGAGTGTGCAACTGCCACCCAGGAGGGAGAAAGTGACCACCTTGGGGGTCTAGAGTGACTGTATGAAGAAACTGGAGCACACTAAAAACTCTATCTGTTCGTGAATGCAGGTGATGAATGCACAGAAAAATGAATTTGTCAAAATTACCTTTCATCAAAAGAGTACAATGGGAAAGAGATGAAGGCTTTGGTTTTGTTTCTGAGGTATTTATGTGAACAATGAACACAATGCACATGTGTTGTTTGCCTGAATGAAATAATTTATTTCTTCTTTTTAGGCTTTCCCAATCTGATAAATGCCAATGCACATATTACTATTTATTACATTAGGCCATTTTTTAAAAATCTTATTTGACATTCATTTATTTGCCTGTATTCTGATGATAGGCATTTAAAATAAATTATTAGTGTAGTAACTATTTTAACAATGTATCTTTTATGATCCATTAGTGTTGTGATAAATTCACTGTATCCTGGAGACTGAAAATGAGTGATGTTTTTCAAGCAGAATTTCATGTTTATTTCTTGCTCAACACTTTTATGTTGCTGTCTCTAAGATATTCACGTGTCTACTAATAATCTTCTTTAATTCTAAATCCTACAGCATTCCTAATATGTTTCTCACTTAAATCCATAGAACCACTTTCTTATTTGACAAAGGTAGTTAATACAAAAGAAAGGAAGACTGGAAGAAAGAAAGAAAGAAAGAAAGAAAGAAAGAAAGAAAGAAAGAAAGAAAGAAAGATAGAACCCAAACCATGTCTTTCCTGTTGGTAGTATGTTTCCTCTGCCTGCTTTCTCCAAGCTGTCCTGTGGGCTGAGGCTTCTGTGTTCAGACTTGTCAAACTCGTTTCATTTCAACTACTTGTCATTTGTTTCCTTATTTCTTCCAGCAGTGGATGTCTAATATATGTAGGGATGTCATAGAGTTGATTGGAAAGTCCAGTTCAGTGGCTGACACCTGCAAGATCCCTTCCTCCCATTCATGATGTATCTGCATCGGTAAGTTCAGTTTTGTTTCCTTTGGGTCCTGCTCCTACGCTGTGGTGTGCTGTGTGTTAATTGACAGATTCCCCTGGCAGAACATGGCCTGGGAGTAAGCCTTAAGGGATTGAAATGTCATTTAAGCCCAAGAGATTTCTGGAATTTTTGAAGCGGGCTGGATTAAGTAATCTCTATGTTTAAAAAGCCAATGTATTGTATAAAAATCATCAGCACTATTATTTCATATTTCCAAGTTCAATAGTTAGTAATTGGGACAGCACTGGAAAAGACAATCACACTTTGCCCTGGTTGATTCTGAACCAAGTGCTTCCTTCGGTGATGGTGCTGGTGTTGGTGTTGGTGTTGTGCTGATCATTTGTTTTAAAGCAATTATCTCAGCAACAACCCAGCAGTATTTAGGCAATTCCTTCTGCTTTTCCTCCTGGTACTTGGTGCTGGTTCTTGTGGAGTGAGGGAGGTTAGGAAGTTATGTGCTTCATAGACTCCTGGTCTACTGTAGAGAACCCTACATCTGAGGAGAAACCAGACTAACAGGAGATCAAGATTGGTGATAGAGTGCTAACTTTCTACAATTTCTCCTATTAAATAGTAAGGATAAGTAAAAAAAATAGTATTTAAATAAGATTTGCCACATTCAAAGAGAGAAAATGCTGTTTTGATATTACTATATATTTCAAATAGTGATTTTAACAGCTAGGATGATAATATTTCATTTTGTTAATATTTATAATATTTTCAAATATGTTGCTTCATTTAAGAGCCTGACAAGCCTGCTAAGGTTCTTAGAGTGGGTGTCATTAATACCTATCCTAATGAGTAAACTCTGAAGACACAGAAGTTAGGAGATATTTCCAGGGTTTTAGGACTGTCGATGCCAGAATTCCTGTGCCCTAAACCATGTATCATACAGTCCTATTCATAAATTAGCATATTCACCTTGTTAACTTCTACCTCTCTAGGTAGAAGGCACCATCTGGGGAATGTCAGACATGAGAATTTGATCCTAGACAATCTACTGAGTCAGTGAGCTTTACTGGACATGCTGACCCCCCCCCATACTCATTTGGATCACTGCTTTAGAAAGAAACCATAAAGCAACTCTGATCTCTGACACACTTAGGAGGTTCATCCTTGTATCACACATAGTCAACCATTGCAGATATCTACTGAACAAATGAAAAAGCAAAAAACTGGACATTTTGTGCTAATGTTTTGCTTATTTGTTAAAATTCATAGAATTAGAATACATACCCAATGTTTATAGACATTAAGACATTGTAAAGCAAAATCTTACATTCCCAAACTTTTCTATTAGAATTATCAAGTTTTCTAAGCATAGGCACCAAAATCTTTCTTTTCTAGTGAACAATTATGTATATACAAATTTTTACAGTTCAGGGACATAAATTAACAGGAGTAATATTAGTGCTCAATTGTCACTATTTTAGACATCAGTGGCATATTACTGATAAAGAATGGAGATGGTAAGAAACACTGGGTAGCAATAGTTGCTTTAAGTCAAATTCAAGGCAACTACCCCCAAAATAGAAGATTTGCAAGAGATAGCCAATCCTGCTAACAGGAATGCATAAGAACTGAGGACATGAAGGTGTTTAATAATTGCAGAGGTAGATATCCTGTCTCACCCACACTCGTTCTAAAGTGAAGTCTACTGTTCTGCTCACTATTGTGATTCTTATTTCCTCATTAACAAGAAACACACTGTGGGAACATACCTTTTGATTCGCATGTCTGTTGTTTCTGCTGTCATGAACCTGGATGTCTCCTCCGTGGGATCTGTCATCTCATTGTTCTTGGGTTGGTTTTAGTGCAACAAATTGCAAATTGCAGAGCTCTCTGTTTAGGTTTCCCCATAAGAATGGCCATGTCCCTACCCTTTCAAAATCTTTATTGATTGAGGGATTTCACTCACTTTAAAAATCTCAATTATATATTTTATAACAGATAATCTATAATATAGTAATAATAATAATCTGAAACTGGACTTGGCTTCTCAGAAGCCCTCTCATCTTCTAGCTCCTTATTATAAGCACTGCTCAATAAAAAGAAAAACTAAATTCATCTCTTGGCTATCACCTTTAAAGGAAAAGGTAGCTCAGAATAATAGCTAGGAATACAAATATTCATATTTTAATTTCAATTTTATTTTGGATAAATGTTTCAATTACTTGCTAATTTGTTAAGTCTAGCCCCTGATACAGTCTAAAACTGCCTTCAGAGTTAAAATTACTAACCGGTAAATCAATTGAATATTATATTTTCTATGTTTTCAGCAAAGTCATGGTCTTATAATGTGTCTTCTGCACCTGTTAGCTCATGTAATCCTCACACGTCTGTGATTTAGCCCTGTTAGCAACACAGTTTTATAGGTAGAGGAAGTAACAAGCCCAACACTATAAATTAATGACAAAATAAACTAGGACCTGGATGTAGCGGCAAAGCCCAAGATTAATTGAAAGGGTGTCCTGCCTTTCCTCTACTTAACAATTTTTTAGATTGTAATATTTTGTGTTTTCTAATACTAAATTTTTGTGAAGTATTTACAGTCTTATTTCTATCCAGGTATATGTCTATAATTAGTGGACTGAAGTGAATATTTGTGTCATTAAGATTTAAAATGTTTTTGGTTGTGAGCCTAGCCTTTAACTGCTGAGCCATCTCTCCAGCCCAAGATTGAAAATGTGACCAGTAAATCATTGTCTTAGTTGTGCTCTCATCTCCTGATTATCTGGAATATAGGGAATAATATTTCTAATAAAAGATGAAGACTGAAGATATATGTATAAAACACTTAGGAGTCAAGATTGCAGAAATTTATTATCAGAGCAGTACATAATTCCATATAAGATGGCAATTTATGAATACTTTTATAATAAGGGCTTTTACTTATTGCCTATTTATTAAAGATGCATCAGTTTGAATCACAGTATTTATTAGATAATTTATTCATTATAATTCTGGTAAAAACAAACCTCTGTGATCACCCTGCTTACATGAGAAGAAAACATTGCCTCAAATCACAATTACTCCATCTGACACACTCATTAATATGTCTGAAAATCCTTGGCAGTGGGCAGAAATAGACATAATAAGGGTACATCCAGTAAGAAAACCTTGAATACTATTCTCTCTTGGGCTTCCACATTTGGTATCAAGTTGGTCTGGCTGCAAATGGGCAGCTTTGCAGCAGCACAGACAAGGCCTTTCCTTTCCTTAGTTCTGACTTTACTAGTGAAATGGTACACTAAGGCTGTTGTCACCAAGCTGTGGCAGCAAGTATATGCGATCATCTTTATCAGTGCTTCCTAAGCTTCCTAATTCTGAGACTCTTTAATACATCTCCACATGTTGTGGTGACCTAAAACCATAAAACTACTTTCATTGCTACTTCATAACTGCAATTTGTTACAGTTATGAATCATAATTTAAATATCTGATGTGTGAGATATCAGATAGGTGACCCCTGTGAAAAGACTGTTCCACCCCCAAAAGGTTGTGACCCTATATGAAAACCCTATATGCAGGATATCTGATATGTGACTCTGTGGAATGGTCATTCTACCACCAACAGGTGGCAAACCACAGTATGAGAATCTCTGACCTATATGAAACCCCTCAGACCAGAGTAGGACTCAGTACCTGCTAGAGACCTTCATTTGCTCACTGCATGCCTTCCCACCTATGGGTAAAGTTTATTATCATCACTCAGCAGAGGGCGGGGAACTGAAGTTGACAAGGTTATGGAAACCTCAAAATACAAGTCACAACACACACTAAAATCAAGCATTTCTTATCCTAGACAGCAAGTCAGTATTTCCTTATAAAATGCTTATAGAGGGTTGTTCCACACAGAGAGAGAACTAGAGAATATTTTTAAGTGTTTAACTTTCATATTTGTTGACAAAATGAAAATTTGTTATTTTTGCTATTTTAAATATTTGCAGAAAAAGTTTGCAGTAGTGAATTATTTTTAATCTCACAGATCTTAAAAGTTGTACCATGAAGCTGGGTGTGATAGCATATTCCTATGATGTCAGCACCTAGAGAGATGAGGCAGGAGGAATGTGTATGTTCAAGGTCAGTCTGAGCAACATAATGAGACTTTATCTCAACAGTTACAGAAAGGCTTGTAACATGGATTCCCTAAACTTAGAACCTATGTCATATTAATCCTTACTCTCCCAAAAACTCAGCATGATGTTTAAAATACAATAAAGTCTTAAGATTAGAGATAACAGATGCAAGTGGATGAGTGGATATATAGCTGGATGGAAAAGTTAATAGATAAAAAAGCCAAAAAATGAATAATAGAATATGTTGCTATGGCTGGTTAACTTCATACAAGTAAATTTTAGGATCTGTTTGTGTTGTAGGATGCCGTGACACAGGCATTTACATGAATAGAATTCATTCTTAGTGGGCTGGAGAGATGGTTCAGAGGTTAAGAGCACCGACTTGCTCTTCCCAGAGGTCCTGAGTTCAATTCCCAGCAACCACATGGTGGCTGACAACTATCCCTTATGAGATATGGTGTCCTCTTCTGGTGTGCAGATATACATGGAAGCAGAATGTTGTATACATAATAAATAAATAAATAAAAATCCTTAAAAGAAAGAATTCATTCATGGATGATAATTCCAGCGTGAATCTTAACCGCCAATCCGACATACTCATTACACTCTTTAATGGAAGAAGTTGAAAAATGTGTGAAAACTAAGTGTTCACATGCATACACTACATTGGAACATTAAGTACTGCCTAACTTTTGGGGAACATAGAACATTGTATAAAGCTTTGTTTAGCCTGCTTGTTTAATCTTTTATTGCCCTATTAATAGTGTACACATTAAATAATATCCCAATTTTCTTGTGTCAATTGAACCACGGTACAAAGTATTCTTAACATTGATTAACTTGTACTAAAAATATCCTGGATACTTTTTAATGTCTATTTATGTAAATGTCTTTGGGGCAACT